CTGAATAGATGCTTCTCCTGAGCGGATGAAATCGTCTAAATACCTCTGACTCTTGGCATGGCAATTTTTTTCCCCTGGGGGAATCAGGGGCTTCTATAGACTGAATGTTTGTGTCCCCCACAAATTCATATGTTGAAATTCCAACTCCCAGTGTGATGGCATTAGGAGGTGGTGTCTTTGGGAAGTGATTAGGTCTTGAAGGTGGAGCCCTCATGAATGGGATGAGTATAATTATAAAAGAGATCCTAGAGAGCTCCCTTGACCCTTCTACCACGTAAGGACACAGCGAGAAGGTGCCGTCTATGAACCAGAAGTGGGACCTCACCAGACACCAAATCTGCTGGCACCTTGATCTTGGACTTTCCAGTCTTCAGAGCTGTGAGAAATAAATTTCTCTTGTTTGTAAGCTACCCACTTTATGGTAATTTGTTATATAGCAGCCTGAATGGATGACGACGGGCTGAGGGGGAGCCCATCTCTGGGAACACAGATGGGAGAGTGATGTGTGTTCCCACGCCCTTCACACAGGCTTTTCCAGCAAAATTGAGGAGAATTAGGGAGATGCTAAAGGCAAGCCTTGACTTGAGTGACCACTGCATGAATGAGCAGAGGCTGAGAAGTTACAGCTCCTAAAAGGGTGCTCGCAATATCGATCTTTTTCTTCAACTAATGATTCCTGAGTTGCAGTCAATGAGCTGTCTGTCCTACCAAGACTGCTAAAGTGAGTGACACTTTGTAATGAAACATTTTCCAAATACCAGTGCATCCATCCTTAGTGACAGAATTTCTTGGAGGGTAGCTCCATCTTGTGGAGAAGCCCAAAAATATTTTAGTGACATACTGCTCAAGGTTAAGGAATCGAGACAAAATAAATTTGAATTTTAATATTATTACTCTTTGTGGAAAACATGTTGAAGTTTTATATAATCAGACTAGTACATTTTGTATGAAACTTATAAATGTTATTTTTCACAGGTGATAAAGTCACTTCATCAGTTGTTATGTACCCTTCCTAATTGCACTGATACCTAAAAAGAAATAGCTTATATGGCTTACTCAATATTTTGCACAGAGCTATTTTCACAATTCTAATGCGTTCCCTTATGTTAGTTTTAAGCAAATATAGGACAAAGTAAGCTTGTGATGATCTTGAACTTGAGTAAGGATTCCTATAAGCTTGCAGAGGCTGGGTAAACGATCTAGGTGTAGAACTAGACTGATGAGAAGGTTTTGTGTTACATAATTGGAACTTTCTCTGTTTTTCTAGCAGTTTAACAATGCTGTGAAATGCAACATATTGATACATTTTTTCTCCTCCGGGTATGATCAATGTTAAGAAAAGGGCTGAAGTGGGATGTAGCATCATTTCTTAGTAGAGAATCTTAAACCGTCTCTTTACCTTCAAATATGTGAAAAGACTATGAGCAAGGAACCCTGAGTTCTTGTCCTAGTGTGTCACCACCTGCCTCCAACATTTGGGGAAAGTCACCAAACCTCTCTGGCTATCAGTTTCCTAATGTGTCCTGAGAGGAAGTTGGAAAAGATGATTTTGTAAGATTTTGCTTTTCAGGTTCTAAGAGTGGGAGAGAACCAGAAGCATCAAGTGCTGCATAGGAGAGCAGCAGGTGCTCTCAGCCGCTCAGAACCACAGGTGTGGGTTGAGAGAGGTGGCTAGAAATGTGAGCTTCCTGCTCAGGGCCTTTACCTGTGCCTTCAAGACCTGATGGACAGTGTGAGATAATAGGAAATATATATTTGATCTTTGTGCCTGGCTTCTGACACAGAGCTCTTAAAACCCTTGTAATTTCTTGAGTGATCGGGGTGCTAAGCACCATCTATTGTTATAAAATTAGGTCTTAGACCTAGGTTCCTGACACAAGAGCTTCTAAGACCCTTGGAATTTCCCAAGTGTCTTTTGTATGCTAGTGAAATGACCCGTGGCTGGGGGCCCCTAGATAGCTTCAGGATGGGGCCTGGGGTTGCCAGAGGAACTAACTATGCGATTAGAGGGTTGGAACTTTGAGCTGCCCTCCCGCCCCGCCATTGTGTCATGTAGGGTCCAACTTGGTTTCTCTTCACCCTGTTTCTTGCATTTGCTCCCCCAGAGTTGCCTGAATCCAACAAATTCTTTAAAGTCTAATGGGACTGAAAGCACTTTTGCAGGAGGCTGTATGAAAGACTGAAGATTTGGGTATTTTTAAAAGGAAAAGGGCTCTCTTCCCATTGCAGAGAAGCAGTGGTAGAACTCAGAATTCCAGAGAGGGGACTTGGGAGCAGGGAAGGAATGGAGGAGACCCCAGGTGGTAAACCCCCCTTCAGTTCCCACCCTTTCTCTGCTCTGGGTCCCACCTTCAGGGCCCTGTTCCTTCTCTCAGGTACCTGGGGAGTGCCAGAGACTTGTGCTGGGCACTGAGCTGATCCCGAAAGGGACCTGCACTCACGGCGATATGAGGCAGAGCCAAGTCCTTAAGTCAGGACTGGTTTGGCTAAGTCAGCCTGACTGGGGGCACCCTTCCCTGACCCTTGTGACCTAGCATTCCTCACTGTCACCTTCCTTCCTCTCTCAACCGGACAGACCTCTTGAGTTTTTAGTGGAACTTGTTATATGCAAAATGGTCTGTATTTGCAATTTCGAGTTCTGCAAGGACCCAATAGTAATTTAAAAGGAGTCTTTTTCTAAATTTAAAAGCAGCTGAGAGACATAAAATTACTTCATGATTAATGACCAACTTATAAAATTATTGTAGGAGATTGTGACTTGGATGACTTCTGCTCTTTTAAATGCATTAAGGTTTTCTGTGTTCTAATAAATGATTAACTTTGTTAAGCCTCTATGGCATTATAAAAGAGTAATTTGGGAGGATTATAAGGTTTAATATATTTCTATTAAAACATTCTATTAGAACACTCTTTAACAATAGTTTTTCGATTAAAGTTACCAGTGTTTCTGACAGGTTCTGCTTATTTATTGTAATACTGTTTTTTGGCACATAGCTACTCATAGGGGATTAGACTTTTTCTGTTTTTAAATAAAAGTAAAATCATCCAAATCATTTAAGCTTTTTTCTTCAATTCTACTTTGTATGATAGTAATATTGAAGCAGCTATTCATTTTCTGAATGAGTGCTGTATCTTTATCCAGTTTTTTTTTTTTTTCCTTTTTGTCTTTTTTACTGACAGGTAACAGGATTGCAACCCACGGTGTTGCGCCCACACCGCGCTCAGCCAGTGAGCGGGAACCAGTCTCCACATGGGATCCGAACCCTCGGCGGGAGCGCCACTGCGCTTCCAAGCGGCACACTCTCCAGTGTGCCACCGGGCCGGCCCTTTATCCAGTTTTAAACATCAAATCAATAGACGGCAAATTATCAGAGGAAAGATAGGAAGGACATGAGCAGGCAATTCAGCAAAGTAAAAAAAAAAAAAAATCAACAAAATACGAATGGTCAATAAATATTTTTAAAATGTTAATTTTCACTATTGTCAAAGTCTTGAAAGTTAAACTTGCAAGGAGATAACAGTGACTTACTGTTTCTTATCTATCGTGTAGGCAAAGATGAAACAAAATTACATTAAATTTATCATGACAACCAAAGGGCATACTTTCTAAGGGATAAGTTTTTTTTCTGATAATTTATTGGAATAAATAAGCCAAGATCTATACAAGGATTTATACACAGGGATATTCATTACAGTGTTATTTATAATAGTGAAAAATTGGAACCCATCTAAAAGTAAAAAACAAATAGACATCAGCTAAATTAATTAAGACCTATCTAATCAATATGATATGCAACTATTAAATCATATTTTACTGATTGTTCAGTAATGCGAGAAAGTCTTCATGAAACTTTTAAAACTAAAAATAAAGGTATATATATGCATATATAGACATATGTATGTGTGTATATATATATTTTATGAAAATGGGAGCTAGGGTGTGTCTCACAGGCTAGAATAATATATGTTAACAGTGTTCAAATTATGATATTTATTTTTCTAATGTTTCCCACAATAAATATTTACAATTCTTATAATTAAACATCAAAAACTGTATTTCAAAAGATTAATAATGGAATTGTTTAGAAGAGGTTAAGGATCTTAAAGAAGACAATAATATTACATTTTAAATAAAAGAAAATGATCAGTCAACTTAGTGAATTCGTTATGTAACTTTATCAATATTAGGATTGCTATATGCATATACTAGCAAGTTTTTCTTATTTAGAGATTGATATCAAAGTTTTGGCCTCTTCAGTGTACCATCTTCCACGCAGTCAGATGTATTTTATTAGTTATGATTATTTTGTTATTTAGCTTGGCTCATATGATGTAGGCAGTCAAAGTTTCTAAATTGGGAATTTTTGAAAGAGAAACTATTGGAAAACAAAGACAGGTTTTTTATGGCTTAGAATTGTAAGAGCAGTCTTTGGATTCTCTTCCATTAAAACATTCAATAATTTCTCCGCCATTCTATCTTCTTTGTAAACATGAGACAGTAAATGTAAAGTGTTGATAATCTTTGATGTACTCCTTAGGCATGGGTCTGTTTTGCACTTCTTTAGCTGTGCAGGCAGTGGGTGTGGGTGAGTTACACTTGTAGCCACTGGATGGCAGCGAACCTCCACTAGTCGTCAGCTGTTTCCAGAATCCCTCTTTCCCTAGTATAGACGGCTTTATTTAGTGTATTGTGCTTGAAAGGAAAAAAGAACCAACATATAGTATCTCTGGATTAATCTCATTTTATTAACCTCTGAACATAAGATTTTATAGGGCATGAGATTGAAATGCTGTAAATCTTGTAACTGGAATTCTGAGGATTTCTTCTTGGAAAAGAAAAAAGCCTGATAAAGCTAGGACTGTGGGTTGCAGGTACAGAGCTCTTTTCATGGGTCTATAGGTCCATTATTAATAGTAGAACTTTACCAATTTCACACCCCTGCATCACAAATAATATTGCAACAATTCCCTGTAAGGAAAATATTTGCAAACATTAGCCGATGGCTCTGAGTAAAGGTAAGTTGATGCTCAGTATGTTGAAATTCACTCTTCTGAATAATTCAGTTCACAAAATTCCAGTTTGCAATTCTATCCCATTGGATAATCACTCAATAAAATGGTAATAAAAAGAGTACCTGCCTTATATTTCAATGCAAGAAAAAATATGAGAGTTGATAGTGATGTAAACCTCATGCTTCAGTCTAGGCTAATAGAGGAAAGTAGAAATGCAGAAAAAGCAAGTTTGCATCCTCTAATTAATTAGGGGCACAAACAAGAAAAATGACACTTATGGGAGGGGCTAGGATTTGCCTTCTACATTTATCAATGATTTTACTGCACATGCCCAAACACCGCCATCACTATCTATAGCAGCAAATTGAAAAAAAAAAAAAAATGACAAGAATAAGAACAACAATGGCAAAAAGAGGACACTTCAAGGGGATTAAAAAATAGAGGTATTACTTAAAGAAAGGAAATATTTTAGTTTATTTCAATACACATATAGGTAACTAAAAATTATCATTCAATATATTTTTAATGAGCACTTATTATGTGTCAGATGCTGTGCTAATCTCAGTATTCAAAGCCTTTGTTTAAAAGAAACCCTAGTATAAATCATATTTCTCAAATGTAATACTATTTAGTCTGACTATTAGAATAGAGCAATGAACAGTAGAATTTCAGAGAAGGGGGCCCTGAGATTCAGGAAGAACCTCACAGAGGGAGGGAAATGGGAACAGGTTCTTGACAGATGAATGGGACAGTGGCTGGCACAGAAGCAGGACGTGTGTTTCAGGCAGATTATGAAAGTGCATTTAGGGAAGCACGTACATCCCCCTGGTGAGAGTGCACCCTGCGATGTGGGTCCGGAGGAGTCTGCAGGGAAGGGCGGGAGATTCCCGCAGTTCTTTCTTCATCATTACATGCTCTTGGTGAGGACCTCCCCTCCCCTCAGGTCTTGATTTTCTCTACATATACTAGAATAAAATTTTTACATTGAAATGCAAGTTTTGAACTGATCTGTAATAAGGCTTAATCTCTACAAGAATTGAATAGAACTAATTAGGGATCAACTCTAAATGGAGTGCTTTCCATTTCAAAAACTTTTTACAGGACAAACTTTTGTGATTTAAAAATGTTTTCCATTTCATTAATTTTCTTTAGAAAAAGGAGAAGTGTAATTCTCAAACGGGGATAACAGTTTGGAGAAAAATTGCCTTCAACTAGTTCTTTAGTCGTAATTGCCTCCCATTTTCTCCTAGGAGACTGCCGTTTGCATCTTTGAGCATTTTCTGGATTAGAAAAGCAGTAGATTTTCTCCTATTGCTCTACATCACTCAACAAATTAACCCCTTCAAGTTTTGTTTTTCTGTACTCTGTTATTATTATGTCATGAATTGGGCACATCCTGTTTTCTGCTTTTCGTTGTTTGTCAGTGAAACCCACTCATGAAGACATGTTGCCTTGGACTGCCTTCACCTTCATGCTGATGGTGTGATCCTAACTTGTTTCAAAATGGTGCTCAGAACGGCAAGAGCATTGGTGATGATGTGAGATATTTGGCTGAGAGATGATTTTTCTTTTAGGCTTTATGGTAAGGAAAGAGGGAGACCCCAAAAGTGGGTGGGAATGTTAAGCGAGAATGAGGAAGAGGCGACCTGGATGTGGAAGGTGGAATGAATGGCAGAGAGACGAACAGTGCGGTTAATGGGGATCGGGGATATACTGTTCTTCTAGAATTTTCTATTGGAGCAGATTCAAATGTTAACCCTCTGTTTTGGAAAAGGGGTAGGAATAAAGCAGAAAAGCAGAGAAACTATTTTCTCTTGGCCTGCTCTAGCTCACTTTAAGAGCACTTACCTCAGGAATATGTTTTCATTTATTTTTTTCTATTATAAAAGGAAAATCCTACAGACTTTAGTTAGCTTTAAATTTTTTCCCTTTAAGTTTTTGGTGTGCTCTTGCTCCTACTTTATTCAGTGTTTTAGACTAATTTAAAAATTGAATTTTATAAAAAGTTCTTATTTTTTCAATCTTATTACATATTAAGGGTATATTTTACATATTTTGACTCACGAGCTTGATACAGCAGCCTGGATTTCCATATGTCTCGATAGGATCTTACAGTTTAATACTTTATTGTTGACTAGTTGTTTCCTTATTTAGTTTTATCTCCTTTGCTAGATTACAGACTCTTTCAGGGAAGGAGCTATGTCTTAATAACATTATTGTGGGTATATCAGACAAGCTTGATAAATATACCCTGGTTGCCTTTGGTGTGATTAATGAGCTATAGTAAACTGTTTTCTTAAACTATATAGCATTTCTTCCTAAATCATACCTAAAATATGGAATTAACTTTGTTACCACCTAGAAAAGGAATTATACATCAGGTTTGATATTTAGGGTCTTTCTTTGCTATCTTTGTTTCTATTAAAATAGAAACGGTCCTATATTTTTGATGATGTAATATTTGAAATTTAAAACAATCCAAAGAAAATAATTATTCAGATTGTTTTTATGTCAAATGCTAAATCATAGGTAAATTCTATATTTTCAAAATTCTTTCCTTCTCCTTGCCTTTGTATTTTCATATCTAGGTACATTTATGTCCCCAACTTGGAATTTACTTCAGTCCATGAAAGTTGACTTATGTAGTTAACTGTGCCATTTCATTTAGATGTTTGAATCTACCTGGGGGCCACATTTGAATATAAGGCCCAGTGTTAACTGTTTTCAGTGGAGAGTCAATAACAGATGGAAAATCAGGAAGCCGGCAATGCTGTAAGAAGCAGCAACTAGATATTGCATTATAAAGCAAATTGCTAAATCTGCTTGTGATAGGAATGTATGTATATATTCCCTGGGTGTCCTGTCACCTCTGCTCTGTCAGGAAGTTGTAATGCTGGTTTTGATAAGAAGTAAGCTTTGAAACTTATCCTCAAAGAAGCTCTGAAGGAACATTTGGTCTGCATAGAGTTTCTATATTTTAGTTTTGTTAGCAATAAAATGAACTTATTCTTTATGTGTGTGGTAAACGGAGTTTGTGTTTGAACTTTGAAATGCTATTTTAACATTTTTATGGTTGAAGAAAACAGCAATGTCTGAGATTTGTCTGTTAACATCTATAGGTAGTAATGACATTTATTACAAGTTGTGTTATGCTGTTTAAGAAAGGTGAAATACAGAAAACACCAACAGGTAGATAAATTGGGTTATTTTTGTCTTCCTTGGCAGTATAAATTTTGTTTTGTTGGTAGTGGACTAACTCTAATATAATTTGTAACTGTAGGTAGTTGGGAGTTTAAAGCCCTATTTAGACCCTCGATGAGGTTATAAATGTTTGTTCATTTACTAAGCAGTTCTTCCGCTGCCCTCTGAGCTTGCAATGGTATTGGTGGAGGTTGAGAGTCACCAAAAGCATAGCCCCTGTGCCTGCCCTGAACTCTGTTCTGCCGCCAACTGCTTGTTCTATTACTGTGGTGATCAAATTATTCTCTTTCTTGCTGGAAATGACTTCCTTTGATGTCTCCACAAGCCTATTCTTAAACTTTCCAAAGAGATACAAAACCTTCTTTGCAGAAACTACTGCCTGGTTTCAGATAAATGGATTTGCTGTATTGGATCCCATTCTTGCAATCAAACGTTTTCCTGCCTCTCAAACCAATGCATTCCATTTTAGTGCCAACCCCTTTGGCACGGGTGTTGAGTGCTAACCATTGGTGTTTATAAATACATCTTCCTTATTTTCATGGGTTTTCATTTATGATAAAAATAACAGTAAAAGGGCGGTTGCGAAGTCAAGCTATCACACGTTGGGAAGGTCCTCTATGATGGCGGTTAATTAATGTGCTTCCGAAGGGGTGATATTAGAGGCTCTGGACTGGGGTTATTCTTTGTTGCTTTGAGAAAATGTCTCTTGAATGGCTCAGCTAACAATTCCAAATATTGGAATTTTATTTTATACTGAATGACATTTGATTCATTTTTGTCATTAAATCTTTCTATAGGAAGGGATTTTGAGGTTACCATTTCATGATACCTTAGCACAAGAGAAAAGCAAAGAGGACCTATGTGCAATGTTAAATGAGAATTTTTATGTTCGTTGGTCAACCTAACTCTCTACTTATTTCTTTCTCTGTTTAACAAAACCTAACATGAAAGTGATGAAAAAGATAGCCCCCAGAATGATCCCTCAGTGAAACCTGAACCCTGGATCTCCATTTCCACAGCTGTCATCTTGGCTTTCTGCAGGGTTGTGAGTGTCTGCTGGTGGCACTCAGCCGGAGCAGGTGCAGCAGGCTGAGGACTTTCTCAGCATTATTCACTGCTCCTTGACATCTTCAATCCCAGAGACCAGATCATGGTATGGGCAGTGACTTGTATAATGAAATATATTTTTCCTTTTTTAATCTTTTTTTTTTGTAGTGACTATACAGGTATAGAACCATGGACCTTGGTATTATCAGCACCACACTGTAACAAACTGAGCTGACCAATCAGCCCAGATATACTAGAGCAGAATCAAATAAGAGTGAATATGAGTTGGAGTTTTTGTTGCTTTATATTTGGAAAAATAATCATGTATTACAATAGATAGAAATGATATTTATTACAAGTTATGTTATGGTGTTTAAGAAAGGTGAATGGCCATATGTGCCTTGGAAAAATATCAACTAAAGGGTATCATAAGGGTAAAGGTCATTAGCTCCTACTGCTTTCACAAAACGAGAATTATCACATTAATAAGGATTCTCATCTGTCTAATTAACACTAGTCATATCTTTGTTTGGATCTTGTATTTCTGAAAGCGCAAGTAATTAAGGCATGGGGTCATTCCTATGCTGTTGGTTTTCCTTTAGGTTATAATTACAAACAAGCTTTAATTAAAGAAGTGTTATTTTTATGAATTATGTATGAAATAGTGCTTAATTTTTTTTTGAGAAAATTGTTTATTCACTTGATGGGGGAGAAAAAAAACCTTTAATTTGGTCTTTACTTTCTACTATACACCGAAGTAATTTGAGATGGATATTTTTGTTGCAGCTCTTATCCAAAGTCATGGAGTACTAGAAGAAAATAGAATGTAAATTGATCAGATCAGCTCTTGGCTAAAACCCTCATCCTATGTGAATATAGCTATTCATTTTCCAGTGCCTGTGCCTGAGCATCTCAGTGCTCCTAGAATAAGCCTAAAACAAGAGAAAAGGCATTTTTTTTTACTATAAATTTATGATCACCCACTTTAAATGGACACTCAGTATTTCCCTTCCATTCTGAAAATTTTTCCTGGTCAATTTTCTCCTCTAGAAAAAATGTCTTTATTCTTTTCAAACCTCGAACTCTACTTCCCTTGGAAGGCTGAGCATCTTACGCGTTCACGTGATGTCCACTTACTTTGTACTTATCCTTTACATCTCAATTCAAATACTCCTCTCTATGGAAGGTTTTCTCTAACCCCCTCCAGACAAGATCAAGGCTTCCTATTTTATGTTCTCATAGCACTTTTTTTTTATAAATATATGATTTTATTATTTATTATTTTTATTTTTATTTTTGTTTTATTTTGTCAATATACAATGTGGTTGATTATTGTGGCCCATTACTGACACCTCCCTCCCTCCTCCCTCTCCCCCCTCCCTCCCAACAATGTCCTTTCTGTTCACTTGTCGTATCAACTTCAAGGAATAGTGATTGTTGTGTCTTCTTCCCTCCCCCTCCAGGTTGTTTGTGTATTTGTTCATTTATTTTTAGCTCCCACAAATAAGTGAGAACATGTGATATTTCTCTTTCTGTGCCTAACAAGGAACGACTGAATAACCAAGGTAGGCAATATGATCTGGAAAGGTTCGACATGATAAATAATAACCGTGCTAAGCGGCAGTACCAAAAGCAGGGTGCCAGAAAGACTTACTGTAATAAACCCTATGGTTTGCACCGAAAATTTGATTTCCATATCTTCATTCAGAGCCCCTGAGCTTTGCGTGGTTAGGTTTGAAAGAAGAGTTTTATAAAGCACTACAGCTTTATATAAAAAGAACAAATATCATGATCCAGGGAGCATCATTTGCTTAAGATTTGGGCAACTGAATGGAAAAAAATTCCTGTGGAGAAAATATCATAGATGTAACAGTACTGCAAGGTTAAAGTGGTCAATCTCAGATGATTAAATGATATCATGATTTTTCCGATATTTTACGTGCCATGTTATAAGATAGTACATGTAGAATTCATGTTAAGATAACAATGCCGTTACTTTAATCATGTAGTATGCTTAAAGGTAAGTAGCAATGCAGTTACTTTTAGCATGTGATCTAAGGTCACTCACTTAGGTTGTGAATTTTTCGGAGCTGGAAGGTGCCTGTAAGAACACTGGGCCCCTATCTCATGTTATTCATGGGGAAAATGGGGCCAGTGTGGCTGATGGTTTATCAAAGGCTACACAACCAACCAGCATGTGCAAAAGTCAGGATCAGAAATGTAGCTTCCCAA